TAAAATACAAAACTATAATACATCTAAATAACACATGAGAAAATCCAAGCAATCTTGTATTTTGTTGTTGTTAAGTGCTACTGAGTCAGTCCCGACTATGTAGCGACCCTTGTAAGATTTATGAAGAGTAGCTGGTGGATTTGAGCAGTTGGCTTTGTGGTTAGCAGTCCAGTGCTTATAGCTCCACACCAAGACTCCACCTTGGGTTTAGCATTGATTTTTTTAGAAAAAATTCAATACATGAAGGAAAAAATTTGGTAAGTAGGAATTCATTAAAATGAAAAACTCAAGTTCTGCAAAAGACAGAGTTAATAGAACGAAAAGGCAAGCAAAAAACTGGGAGGAAATATCTGTAAAACACATATCTAACAAAGGACCTGTATCTAAACTATACAAAGTAAAGAACCCCTAAAAATTAATAAGAAAGCAAACAACTCAAATAACAGGCAAAAGATCTGATCTGGAAAACAAACATATGAAAAGATGTTCAACATCATATGTTATTAGGGAATTGCAAATTAAAACAACATAAAATACTAACCATTCATACCTAATTGTTGTTGTTAAGTGCTATGAAGTCTTTGACTCATAGCGACCCTCTGTAGGCTTTCCAAGGAGCGACTGGTAAATTTAAGCTGCCAACCTTGTGGTTAGCAGTCCAGTGCTTAGCCTACAGCACCACACCAGGCTCCATCAAACCTAACAGAATGACCAAAATTCAAAACACTGATAACACTTTATGCTAGCAATGAATTCTCATTCATTGCTGGTAGCAATGCAAAATGGTATAGTCACTTTGGAACCCGGTTTGGTGGTTTCTTACAAAGTGAAACATATGCTTACCATTGTCATTATTAAGTGCCATGGAGTCAGTTCTGAATCATAGTGACTCTGTATAGGGTTTCCAAGGAGTGGCTGGTGGTTTTGAACCACCAACCTTGTGGTTAGTAGTCCACTGCTGACTCCTAAGCTTACCATACTCTCTAGCAATTGTGCTCTTGGGTGCTAGGCATTTACCCAAATGAGCTGAAACTATATGACCACAAAAAAACCCGTATACTAATTTTTATAGTAGTGTTAGTCATATTTACCAAAAGTTGGAGGCAACCAAGATGTCCTTCAATAAGTGAAGAAATGGAAAAACAAACTGGTATATCCAGACAATGAAGTATTATTTATTGAGAAAAAGAAATGAACTATGAAGCCACAAAAGACATAGAGGAACCTTAAAGGAATATTGCTAAGTGAAGGAAGCCAGTTTAAAAAGACTACATAATGTATAATTCCAACCTTACAACATTTTGGAAAAGACAAAACTATAGTGACAATAAAAAGATAAGTATTTGCCACAGATTTCAGGGAAAGGGGGAGAATAAGGGCTGAATAGGTGGCACAAGAGCCATTGAAACTATTCTGAGTGCAACGTCAATGGTGGACACCTGGCACTAAGTATCCGTCAAAACCTGTAAGGCTATAAAATGGACTTTACACAGTAATAATGCATAATCCTGGTTTATCCAATCTAACCAATATACCAAGGAATGCAGGATGTTAATGATAGGAGAATGTGTATTCATGGAGGGTATATGAGAACGCTAACGTTGCTAAATTGGTCTGTAACCTAAAATTGCTAAACAACAACAACAAAATCTATTTAAAAATAAAAAGACTAGGTGAATTAATTATACCAAAAAGAAAACAAAAACAAAAAAGCTTCCCTCCCAAAATTCACGACTGTCGAGTCGATTCTAACTCATAATGACCCTATAGAATAGAGCAGAACTTCTACCTCGGGTGTTCGAGGTTGTAAATCTTGACTGAATCAGAAGGTCTCATCTTTCTCCCATGGAGCTGCTGTTAGGTTCGAAACACTGACCTTTTGGTAATCAGCACAACTCTTAACCCACTGCACTACCGGGGTGCTTTGAGATAACCATCAAGGATGGAAATCTAGAAGGATCCTACAATCAATTGTTTCACAGGTGTTTAAGTTCTTGTTCTACTTTAAAGGACCTGAAACTGGAATGTAAATTTTGTAGTCAGAGATACCGTCTATACAAAAAAGACAAGGAGCTCTAGCTAGCAGACTATATTTTTAATAGGTCAGCATTGACATCAGCAGATTAAGAAAGAAAGGTACTTTTAGATGTTTTAAGCTAAAATAAAAGTCTATAATGTATATAATCTTAAATTGTCCACTTTAATACTTTGATTAATTAACAATTGGTCTATGTTATGGATTAAATTGTAGCCCCCGCAAAATACATGTTGCAAATCCAAACTCTAAGAGCTGTTTTGGAGTCCTGGTGTGGTGCTGTAAGGATAGGTCACTAGACTGAAAGGTCAGTCTGAACTGCAAGGTCTAGTTCAAACCCACCAGCCACTCCTCGGAAACCCTATACAGGGTTGCTATGAGTTGGAACTGTCGCGATAGCACGTCCTTAGTTGTAACCTGGACATTGCCTTCTTCTGTTGTGCATAAGGTCGCTATGAGTCAGAACCAACTCAAGGACACCTAACAACAACAACATAGTTATTGTAACCTCATTTGAGAATGAGTTATTTATTATGTTAATGACAAAATATTAGTGTTGGTTGTTGCTGATAAGTGCCTTTAAGTCCATTCCAACGACTAGTGACCCTGTGTAGGGTTTTTGAGGAGCAGCTGGTGGGTTTGAACTGGTGACCTAGCAGCTCAAACTGACCATGTGGTTCAGTGCATTATCCTGCAGCACCATACCAGGACTTTGTGTAGGAAGTTTTAAATCAATCTCTTTTGCGATAGAGTAGATTAAGCAAGCAAACAAACACAAATGGAGGGGAATAAATATAACACTTGATCATCAAGGAACTTAGGAATAGTAGCTGAAAAGAGACAAGACCTTTCCCGGGAAGAGAGAGTCCTCCCTTAAAGTCAATGCTCTGAATTTAGACTTCTAGCCTCCTGCTGTGGCACTGTAGGATAAGCACTGGACTGCTAACTGCAAGGCCAGTGATTCAAACTCACCAGCCACTCCTTGGAAACTCTATGTTGTTATCGAGTCGATTCCAACGCATAGTGACCCCATGTAAGATTTCTGACGAATGGCTGATGGAAACTCTACATGGGGTTACTTAATAATACGCTGTGAGAAAACAAACTTCCATTCATTACAGTTACTCATTTGTGGTATTTCTTTTACAGCAGCACTAGCCATCTAAGACAGTCTGATAAGAGGAAATCTATTGTACTAAATTTCAGGAACCCCATAATGATGGCTTGGCTTAATCTAAACAAACACTTCTCTCCTTGTTAGCAAGATCTAAATCAACAACTACAACAACAAAAAAGATCTAAATCAACAGAAGAAGGGAATAAAGCCGGCTTCAAGTTTATAGTAACTAAGTCAGAAGATTTCAGAGCTAAAAGTTATCTTTTACTATCTAAATGTTATCAATCACTCCCACTAAATGTAACTTTCTTAGGCTAGCACTGAAACACTTCAGTAACATCACTGGGACTTACATTGAGTTTCATACTTAACTTTTTTTTTACTAGTAGTGGGACTTGGCACTTATGGAAAAACTAGACCCAGGACATCTCCATGGTAGAAGTTTAATACATAACAGTAATTTGACCAAAAACAGCAACCACAGTAACAAATCAGTATGATGAATACTAGAAAAGAGATATCCACAGGTATTTCTGGCAACAGAGAAAGTAACATCTAGTTCTTCTTGGGGACAGCAGGGAGGAGAAGGCTGAGGGAAGAATCTAAAGATTTGGTGCTTCAGTCGAATCTCTAAGGAAAGTACTCCAAGTGGATGGGGGGAGAAGGCAAATTCACTTAGCAGGGCAGCCTCCACCAGTCCTGGATCTGTCATGTCTCAGCATTTCAATGCCTATTTCCATGCCCACTTGTTCCCTGAGAGTTTCCCTCTGATTTCCTCTGAACCAAAGTGTGTTCTCCCCCTTTTATCTCCAGATCAACTTTAAAAATAGTTGTTAGGTTGATCGTATCTGTCCTTAAGCCCTAGTTCTTTATATATGGTACTTAGTAGGCTATGTTGGCACTGTAGGATCAGCAATGGACTGCTAACCACAAGCCTGGCAGTTTAAACCCACTAGCCACTCTGTAGGAGAAAGATGAGGCTATCTACTTCTATAAAGATTTACTGTCTTGAAAATCCTATATATATTGCATTTGTCTTAGAATCCCTTGAATTCAGGAAATGGTTCTGTCTCCTCTATATGTCCTGTAGGACCCATGACTATGTCTTTTTTTTTTTTTTTTTTAATGTTTTATTGTGAATTATATGATAGTTTACATGGGAGAACACATTCGTTTTACATTCATCCTATCCTATATCGTTTCATTGCTATGGTTACAATTCCCTCCATGCATCATCAACCAACCAAAGGGTATACCCTGCAAGCCTGCCCTCCCCCCGCCCAAGTCATCAGCACATAGCCTCTCTTCCTCTGGATCTAAAGTCCCCAGATGCTCCATCTCTCCACATCATCGCCATGACTATGTCTTGAACAGAGAATAGTGTTCAGAAATATTTAACAACTTACATAAAACACAAGTCTTTTTCTGACTCAGCATTCAAGTCATTCTGAGAATTATAGGCACTTTGAACTGCATGCTACCATCCCCTGTATCTAAGAATCTGAATATGAAGTACAGAGTATAATAAAAAACCAAAGGCATGGCTCAGTGACTCACTTGCCACTAACTAATCTAAAAATATACTGTCATCATCTAGAAAAAGGTATTAGACCTAAAACAAGTTTACTAATTCAACAGACATTTTAAAACCACTATTATTAGTTATTATTATTACAAGGTCGGTAGTTCAAGCTCACCGGTCACTCCTTGGAAACCCTATACAGGGTCGCTATGGGTCAGAACTGACTCAATGGCATTTAACAACTATTATTAATTAACCACAGGAAGTAAATATTTATCTTTACAATGAATTATTTTATAATAGAGGAGACTGCCATATATCCATACCTGAATAAACTTCTTTCTAAAAGCCCCAAGGTCTGGAACTTTTGGGTCTCCCAAAGCTGCATACATTCTGTCATACATTTTTTCAATCTTTTTTTTATTAACAGGGCTTTTCAGTAGTTCAATTTTGGTATCTTCCATCCAATCCTGCATTGATTCAAAGAAAGAAAGAAAGAAAAAAAAAAATCAAGCTCCAGTCCAAGTAGATTTGACCGAAGTTTTATGTTTTATATGTTACACTACCTTAAAGAGCATTTCTGGATTGGACAGCTGTTCAAGGGCATTAATGAAATCTTGAATGACTCCTCCTTGATCCAACTTATTTTTTATCCTATAAAGAAATTAAAAATTTTTTGTTTGTTTGTTTAACCAAGTTTAGGTTATGAAACACCTTTCAAAGGTATACATGCAGATGTATTTATATATTCCAGGGAACTACATATTGTAGAAAGAGCTCTGGTAGCATAATGATTATGAATCAGGTTGTTAATCTCAAAGATCAGCAGTTCAAAACTACCAGCAGTTCCATAGGAGAAAGATGAGGCTTTCTGATCCCATAAAGATTTACAGCCTCAGAAACCTAATACAGGGTCACTAAGGGTCGGAATCAACTCGATGGCACTTAACAACAACAACAAAACATTGTAGGGCAGGAACAACTTAAAAATTACCCCACATTAATTAGATAGACAAAGCACCAAGTATTTAATCAAGAGGTGAGGCTCTTAGATATAAAAGCAAATCTTGCAAAGATTTTGGTGTTGTTTGGCAGCATCTTTTGATGTGCCCAATTTGGTATTTTGAAGTCACGTCGTGATAGAAAGTGTCACTTTTTGATACACTTTCTTCCTGACCTTTGTCTTTTCTGTTTTGAAAAGTCCTCCCTCAGTAGTGATCTGCACCGGCAAATCCGCAGATTGTAAACAAAAACGTATGACAGAGAACGTTCACCAAGTACTACACATTTACGAAATACTCGTGCAAAACGAATATGCCATGGCTAGTTGAGTCGATTGTCTCCATTTGTAAGTCAGTTGAAGCCTCAAACAGCATTGAAGCCTTCTTGGGTATTCTACACTGAAGATGAATTCCAGAAACTGATTTCATAAACACATCTCAGCCAGTCTGTCTCAAGCAACAGATTAACTATGAGAGTAAAGGTAGATGTTTCCTGAATCAGATTTTAATATAAAATGTACTTTTAAAAGGAAAGAGATTATAATACAATAATAAGGCTCCATGTGTTTGTTTTTATCACATATGTTTTGTATAGCCTTTAGAATCTGACCAGACATTTTTTTATCTCTAATGTCACCTTGCCACAAACTCCTTGTTCTTATGACCGGCAGATGTGTTTTTGAAGGCATAGCTCTCACTGCTTATTATGAAGGGGTAGACAATAGCCTGTGGATAGTGGTCAGCAATCTCTTCCACAGTGTGCTGCACAGCCACAGCCTCCTCCTTGTCCAGTAAGGCCACCAGGTGGCTGATCCAGCCAATGAACTGCCAGCAAGGAATGGAACATATCTAAAACACAGAAAACATGAAGAAGAATTTCAATCAGGTTTTATTACAAAAGGCAATACATGTCCAATATGAAAAACTGAGACGTATAAAATAAAAGCTCTTCTATCCCAAACTCTCTCAGTCCTATTCCCAAGGCAACCACTTAACTTTTTCCTGACATTTTCTATAAATGTGCATGAGCCAAACCCATTTCTGTTAAGTGGATTCAGCAATCCCATAAGACAGCAGAACTGCTCTGTAGGATATTTACACTGTGGTTGTTATATAGGATGTAAATCTTTATGGAAGCAGCCAGCCACATCTTTCTCTCATTGAGTGGCTGGTGGGTTCAAATTGTCAAGCTTTCAGTAAGCAGCTCAATGCTCAACCATTGCATGATCAGGGTTCCTTATGCCTGTGCATACATACCTTTTTTTTATACGAATGTAAGCACATCCTGGTTCCTGGTCTTTCTTAAAGAGATGAGTAGACAAACCTATTTCATTCCCTTTAGCAGCTGTAAAATGTACTATTTTATTTAACCACTGCTCTAGATGAATAATTTTTAGCAACTACAGATAATGCTACAACTGAGATCCCTATACATACATCTCTTTGTACCTATGCTGTAGGGTCTATTCCTAGAAGGAGAATTACTATGTGAGCATTAAAAACTTTAATGCTCACTTCTCGATTTAACTCCAAAAAGTTTTTCAAGTTTTCATTTCATTTCAAAGTTTTTTATTTCATTTCATATTAAAATAATCATTTTCCAAAATCCTTAACAAGACTGGACACAATTAGTTTTTTAAATCACGGTTAATTTAAGAAGTAAAAAATATGTAATTCACCATGGCAATGAAACGATATACGATATGATGAATGTAAAACGAATGTTCTCCCATGTAAACTCTCACGTAATTCTCAATAAAACATTAAAAAATCTAATTCTAGTTTCTGTGTTTTCACTACTGTTGTTGTTAAGTGCCTTTGAGTTGGTTCTGACTCACAGCAACCCTATACAGGGTTTCCGAGGTTTTTAAATCTTTGCAGAACGCATCATCTTTCTCCTGGGGAGCAGCTGGTGGGTTCGAACTGCAGACCGTGTGGTCTGCAGTTCAGTACTTATCATATGGAACCACGGTGTCCCTGTTTTCACTAGCGAAGCTGAATAGTCCATGTTTAATTGGTTTCATATTCTTTAATTATGTATGCATTTCCTCTAACCATTTTCTGTTGTTGTTGCTGTTACATGCTGTTGAATTGGAGCCAATTCATGGTGACCCTGCACAGGGTTTATGGGACAGTAAATCTTTGTGGGAGCTACCTCATTTTTCTCCCACTGAGTGCCTGCTGGGCTGGAACTGCCAGAGTTTATCCTACAGAGGATAACTATATTTGCCTTTCTGTCATTTATTTCTGAAGATTTATTTTTTAGACAAAAGAAAGAAGCTCTCTTTATCCCATATGCACTGCAAAAATTTTTGTCTTTAATTTTTTTTATGGCATTTTCTTCTGTACAAATGTATGTTTCATGGTTTCTGTTCTAAAAATAGAACAAATGAATAAAATAAAGGCTCTTTTATCCGCAGTTCTCTCAGTCCTATTACCAAGTCCTATTTTCTTACTCTAGAACCATTTAAAAAAATTTACTCGTGTTTTCCCTCAATGATTTTATGGTGTGTGTTTTTTAAAAATTTTTATTATGAATTGAGTAATAGTTTACATGGGAGAACACAGGTTTTATATACATCGTTTCATTGCAAGGGTTACAGTCCCCTCTGTGCATGATCATTCGATAGATAGCATTTGCTTCTATTCTCTCTGGCATTTTTTTGTTGTTTATTTTTTGGTAAGGATTTACACAAAAACACTCAGAAATATATAATCATTTAAACAATCAAAAGGCACATTCTGCAAGCCTGCCTCCTGGCTGCCAGCATACAGCCTTTCTCTTTCCATAAGTCTAGAGTCCTCAGCTGCTTTATCTCTCCATGCCATCATCTCTGCCTCCATCTCTGGTGTTATTTTTAAGATAAAAATCCGACACATTTCATGCTGGTATAAGGAGTAAACTTAAGGAAACTTCTATATGTCTGTGCTTTCCCATCTACAGCATCTGGTGCAAGTAAACTGAGCCCATCCATACAAATCAGCAGGCACAGTGTGTGGCACACAGCAATACTCAGGAAGTGCCAGGCTAGGGCCTGACACTGTGACTGACACTCCAATTTACTTCCTCACAAATCTAAAACACTATCTTACACCTAAGGAACCCTAGTAGTTCAGTGGGCTAAGCACTGGGCTCTAACTGCAAAGTTGGGAGTTTCATTGTTTCCTTTAGGAAAAAAATAGTTAAAAATATTCTTTTTAATGATTACTTTTTTTTTTTTTTAAATGTTTTATTGTGAATTATGTGATAGTTTACATGGGAGAACATTACCTTTACATTCATCCTATCGTATATTGTTTCATTGCAATGGTTACAATCCCCTCCATGCATCATCAACCAACCAAAGGGTATACCCTGCAAGCCTGCCCCCCAGGCCGCAACAAAAAAGCCCCTCTCCCTCTCTGGGTCTAGAGTCCCCAGTCGCTCCATCTCTCCTTGTCATCATCTCTGCCTCCATCTCTGGCATCACTGCTTCTCTGGGTAGGGTCCCGCTCTCCACTCTTCTCTCTTCCAGGTTCCAGGGACCTCTGCTCCTAGACTGCAATGTTAACCACTCCCCTCCTTTTGCTACAGAATGTCTACCTTTACATTTCCAACCCTTACAGTCAGTCCTGATAACAATTATTCACTACCTTACCACAAGAGACCTATCTGCATCTCCTTTTATCAGTCCTGCCTAGACAGATTGGATACTACTCAATGGAGATTCTACCTTCCTCCATGCCCTCAGGATCTAGGCTCCCTCTTGAAAGCTTGTAAGCCAGTCACTTCTTGCCTTTGTAGCACCCCTATTTTGGGTAGCCAATGACCAAGTTGCCCATCCCTGTTTACTCTGTGTATGAAGGGGGTGGGAATGATCCTTGCTGTAAAGATTTGTTCCCTCTTTTGAGCTACTGCATCCATAGGTATAGGTCAAGTTCATCAAATTGTATCAGATTACTCTTTTTTTCCTTTTCTTTGCTCTTCTTTAACTACTACTTTAGATCAACAATCTTTAGGAAACACACACGTAGACTACATTTACTGCAACCTCCTGTTTCCGACCTGCTGAGAGAACCTGTCATGCAGACCCCGAGACCAGAATATGTGCAGGTTCTGATAGGCGTGTGCAAACCCTACATTCCATGCACCAGCACTGCCCACATTGACCAAGATAGGTAAAAGGGAGTATTCTGGGACCCGTTTCAACATTTGCTTTTCAGCCCAAGTCCTTGTCCAATTCTCCAGTTAAATGTAATAGTCAGGAGTCTTTCAACTGACCCTACATTTTTCAGAGTTGAACACAATGCAGTCTTCCCTGCAAACAGCACAACAGCTTGATGACAGCAGAATAGCCAGCCCATACGGGGCAAGGTCATGGGACTTACACAGCTCTGCAGCAGAATGAGCCCAAGAAGTCATGCAGACTGTATCCAACAACAGTTCTCCTGCCAGGCACCCCCACACCAACGATACCGCCTGAAGTGGGGCCTTTGGCCAGGATGCAGGCAAGCACAGTGGTCACCAGGTAGTAGGTTCTGCTAAGGCACACCAGCCTCTTTGGTTGCATTTAATCTCAGAGCATACAGTACACCTCAATGTTGCAAACTGCAGCTGAGTTTCATGGGCAATCAGTACTCTATAGACAAGCCTGTCTCTGTTTCAAACACTCCCACTACTCCACTCCTTTGGGTCCTTGTTTAGACCCAGAATTTCCTATAATGTCCACAGAGGACCATGGTTAAGTGTGAACATTCTATTATACAGTTTAAAGTACATATGCTCTTGGGATGTAGCAGGACTCACTGCTGATTGGAAAAAGCTATGATATATGCATTGCACAGGCTAATAAAATTGGGTGTAAATAAGAGTAGTTTTTTAAGATCTTCACTAAAAGGTTGATACTGACCTCTTTTGTCATTAGGCTCAAAGTCTCCTCTGGATACTGTTCTATAATCTGAAGTAGTCTGGGGAATTTTAGCCTGGCTTCACTGGAATTTAATTTTAAAGCTTTCAACATTTTCTCCATCACAAGTGCTGGATATGTCTGTAATTCTACAGAACCAATACCTATCAAAGTCAACAGTAAGAAAACAAAAGTCAATATACTCATTAATATATAAATTTGACATTACATTTTCTATTTTAGGTTTTTACCTTTGTATTATGTCATTATTCTCTTTTAAACTACTAGTTTAGATCAACAAACACCAGTTACATTTTGGACTATAAGTAAAAGTTTTTATCTTGAAGACGAATTCTTCTATTATATTACCCATTCTGCGTGAAGCATAATTTGCATCCTGGGATGGAAACATAAGGAATACTTGCTGGCTATGGAATTTATTCCAGGAGCAAAAGGCAGGTCACCTGAGTCAACCAAAGGTGCAAGCAAAATATGAAAGAAGGAAATGGAAAGACAGACAACAGCTTGAGTTCATTTAGAAGCTGGCATATTGTAGGAGTATTCATGGCCACTTACAAAGAAAACAGACTTTCCTCTGAACATGTGTCATGGAAGAATCTGGAAATGGGTAGTGGTAGTGGTGATGATTGTGTAACATGATGAACGTAATTAATATCAATGACATGCACTTGTCAAAGCTGTTGAAAGGCAAATGCTTTGTTAAACATATACCTACCACATTAAACAAATTAATGAATTAATAAACATTAGATGAATAGACACACAAATGAAGAAAACCAAACCAAAACAAAGGATGTTATACTACCACATTGAGACTCACCTGATGCATTCTCTTCCTCCTTACGGAGCGCCTGATCACAAAAATTGACCAAAGTCATGTAAGCATTTATTACTCCAGCCACCTGGGCACAGTCCCTGGAGGAAGACTGGATCCCCTCCTCAGCAGTTCTCACAGCATTAGAAAGGAAACAGAACGCCTTCTCATACAGTCCCGCTACCACCTGGAATTCACAGACAACTCAGGAGACCCGAAAATGCAACTGAAGCTTTCTTACATAAACAACTCTATTTCCTACTATGACTCATTATTAATGAACTAATAATCAATGGCTAACTCTAAAACGACCCAGAAATCTAGTGAACTGGGGGAATTCAATCAGGGAAGACCCATTTCAATCAGATCCTGAGCACAGCAAAAACCAAGTGAACAGAATGGAGCCAGGCCATATGTGGCCAAATAGTGCACTAGTCACCTGTACCTTTAACATCTGGCGTTAAAGGGTTCATGGGGTCAGTAGCACATTCAGGAACTTAAGAAAGAAAAGAAAGCATTTTACAGCAATTGCCTGAAAAATGTTATCTCTTATTACGAAAGTGGAGCAGAATGACTTATACCTCACCATGCCTGACCTTAAAGTTTTAGATTTGCAGCCTAGAAATTAACTATTATTGGACAGAACTTTTTCCAAAGTACCTCCCAAAGATTACAAGGATGATGAACTTTCTTTGTTACAGGAAGTCAGTGGCTGTAGCAATACTTAAACCCTACTTGCAAGTCCCACTTTTTTCATTAATAAAATTGCTAACAGGAAGGAGCTCAAAAGTCAAACAGGCTGGATAAACTATGTGATGTCTCCAAATGTCCTCAGAGGAAGTCCTGTTATCAATCAATCACGACATAGGGCTCTGCTTGCACAGGTACTAGCAACCTGAGGGAGATGGGGGAAGACTGGCAACTGTCCATAGTGCCAAACACCAGCAAAGTGCTGGCCATTCAGGCACTGAATAAAAAAGTGAGAAAGAAAAGCTAATCTGCCCCACAGTGAGTGGAACATGAATGCAGACTGTAATGAAACAGGTGGAGAACTGCTGATGTTAAATCAAACAAATTTCTCCCTTTCTTTTTTTGGCCAAAAACTATCATTTAAATAAACTGGAAACACATAGAATAGACCTTTTTTTTTTTATTTAGAGATTAAGGAACTCAGTTGTATATATCTGTTAGAATTTAAAAGCAAAGTGATACATTCATTATTATTTTTGTGCAACCAAAGGTTACATGTTAAAAACAGCACACCAACATAAAAAGTTCATTCTTTGAACACTCATTACCTTTTCTGTATCCTCTGAACTGGATCCGGAAAGCTCCAAGATTCTTCTAACCTTACTTTCCTCAATTTGGGCAAGGCAGGTAGGTTCACTGCTGAGAGCATTAGCTATTATCTGGTAAGTGGTACCCAAGAAAATGTTCTGATCACAAGAAGCCAGAATATTTTTGCTTAAATGGCTTGATGTGTTCTCATCTGTTGGATTAAAAAAAAAATTTTTTTCAGAAGTAAATGAACACCATAAATTGAAAGAAGAAATTCATAGTGTACAAATATATCTTGCTTCCATAGAAAATAAAAGAAACTGACTTCAGATCAATAAGAGCATTCCTTGAACTGACTTAATTAATAAATAATAGTCTTCATTAGCAGCAATTATACCGAAGTCTACAGGTGCTAGGAAATTAAAACAAAAATTCACTTTTATGAAACATCAGCCTTCTGAATTTTGTCAAAGCACTTAGTTCTGTCTGTTGCAAAGACCAGAAAACGGCTCCCATTAATACATTTGTGCATGCGTTTAAATTGAAGCTGTGGATTAGAATTAATACAGCAAAAGACACTACTCCAGATAAAGTTCTAGCTCTGCTTCTTACTGACTGTGTGGCTTTAGGCAGGGAGCTGGCCTAGCCCTGGTCAAGCATGAAGGTTCCAGAGGTGAGTTAATGGTGCACAAAAGAGGAGGTACAATCTCCTAGGTATTTCAGTTAACCAAACCATCCTGGTCATTCCTGGAATGACAATTCTCTGCCAGATTTCCCTCAGATGCTTGATAATAACCAATGGCCCTATCTACTTTGTTGTTATTGTTAAGTGCCGTCGAGTTGGTTCAGACCCATAGTGATTCTGTATACAGTGCCAAATCAGGACTCCAATACAAGCTTGTTAAAAATTATCACCATACTATAACTACTGTTGTTGTTAAGTACCAGTTCTGACCCAAAGTTGGAACTGACGTGACGACGCTTAGCAACAACAACATACAGTTGATCATTATGATGAATGGTAACGAAACAATGAGGTTGTAGGTGATTCATATCCTCCTCTCAAAAAAAATATTTAAGCAACTATAAGATGGACTTTCCAACCCTGGGTTCAATGTAAAGACTGCTTCTCCCTGCTGCATCTTCTGTGGCTGATACTCTTGATTGCTAAAGAGTCCAATTTGCCAATATGACTGGGAACATGTCCAACAATAATGTTGCTCTGTAAATTGGGCATAAGGCAACAGAGTAAGTATATCAAATCCAAAGTCATTTAAGCATTTATTGCTCCAGCCACATGGGCACAGTTCCTGGTGGAAGACAGGATCCTCTTCTCAGCAGTCCTCACATTGTTAGAAAGGAAGTGGAACATCAGAGAAAGATTTTCTCCCCACCAGTTACTATGAAAAGAGAAGACTTAAGGGGTATAAGGAGTCCTGGTGTGGTGCTGTAGGATAAGCACTGATTGCTAACCTCAAGGTTGGCAGTCCAAACTCACCAGCGACTCCTTGGAAAACCTATATAAAGTTGCTGTAAGACTGACTTGACGGCATTTAACAACAAGGAGGGTAAAGGCTGAGTTCTAGAAAATACTTTTGTATGCAACTTAGTTTTTCAAGACAAACTATTAAACCCATAACTTTGTTAAGTATGAAGGACAAAAATTTTAATTTCTATTTCTAAAAGCTACAAAAATCATACTCAATAGCATTAAATCTTTTGTTCTAGTTCTGTGGAAACGGTGTCATTTTCTCTAGCACATTTTGCTATATTTACTAAAATTACTACAAAGATTTAATTCCCAAATGTTTGATGAAGAAAAAAATAGGTTTAGATGAAACATACAACAAAATAGAAAATACCATTCTACAACTTATAGAGAATAAAGCACATCTAATACCCAACAAAGGGATGGTTTTCAACACAGTGAGAATCTGCTCAGAATGATGTTGGCTCCGGCTCCGGCAGTGGCTCAATCGGCAATAGCTATGAACCCATTTCACCATCCAATCTCCTCTTGTTTTTGACTCTTTATGCAGCTCCTTCAGTTGTTTCATGGCAAGTGAGAAGCTGTTCTGTATTAATAGAAGACAAATGAACAAACAGAAGACATTTTACAAAAAGATTAATTGGATTACTTCTTTTGTTGCATGACACAATCTACATAATCTATTTCTTCAACTTCATTTATGTTGGATAGTTTCAAATTATTATTAGAATATAACTCACATTTAAAGTACACAATTCAATTGTTTTAGCAGATTGACCAAGTTGGGCTAAGATCACAAGTAAAATTAAGAACCTTTTTATCATCCCATAGTCTAATCTAAAATTCTTAATTTTGATGAAGTCCATCTAGTTTTAGTTTGATTGCCTGGAATATGGATGTCTTTTAAAATCTACTTCTTCTAATTCTCTTTAACACTTCGAAAGACATTTTCACGAGTCTTGAATCTGCCTAATTACAACCTTTTTAATCATCCAGGCTAAAAATCTCAGTCACCTTCAACTACACTCTCCTTCATTATTCCTAATATCACAAGTCCAGTTGTATCTCTACTTATAGACTGTTTCTCAAGCTTTTCATTCCTATCACCACTTCCCTAATTCAGGACTTCATGTCTCTCTTCCTATGTCTGTTTCTGCCCCGCCTCCTGAGCAGTCAATCTTCCACATGGCTTCCAATCTACCAACAAGCTTGAGAACCCTTCAGTGATTACCTGATTTCTACGGGACTGTCTCCTAACCCATCTCTACGGCTTAGCTCAGACCTACCATCTTAAGGCCCCTCACAGACCCTCTGGTTAGGGCTACATGTACCCCTGAGTTTCTTACCTCAAAATTTGTTTTAATATTTTGTACTCCTGGAATGCTCTTCCCCTCTTAAATCCAAATCCTACCTTTACCATAAAACCTCCTTCTCCACGAAGCCTTCTGACCAAGACAGAATTTTGCTCTTTCTCCCCATTCTAACGCTGGTGTTTTCTTTGCTTGTGTGACATACTGTCTCTTGCTAGAATGTGATATAAAGACAGGGACAGGTTCTTTCCCATTTAAAATGCCTGCAAGTTTGTGGACTGTACCATGATCTTCATTCTTACCTTCACAGGTAAGGTTTTGTGCCTACTTGATTGGGCCAGGATTCCTAGTGGTTTGGCAGTTGAAATGTGGTTAGCTCCATAGTGAGATCTAATATAGTGTAGTCATCTCTATGATGATGGGCTATGAGCAGCCAATCAACTGAAAGGCTGCTTCCTTGGGGGTTTAGCCTGCTTCCAAGATAATGGACACACAGGCAAAGCTTGCTTGCTTTCTGCTGGGTCTAGATCTTGCATCTGGCTCATCCTCTAATCTGCAGTTCTTTGGAATTGAGCCAGTTACCTGCTCTATTATCTACTTGCTTGCCTGACTGCCAGACCTGTCTGCCAGCCTACCAGACCTGCCTACCTGTCAATCTTGGTTCATCTGACCCACACTTGGGACTCTGCCACATCTACAACTTTGAACCATTTCATTGATGTAAACTTATCTTTATATAAATACATACATAAGCTTCACTGGTTTTACTTCTCTAGAGAACCCAGCCTAAGATACTTAGTGTTACCCAGTATACCCTTTCACAAAATCTTCAACTCAAATCCTTCCATTCTAACCAGAAACCTGCTCTACTGGTGACCATACTTCTGCCATGCTTGCTTCATAACCTATGTAAGACCTAGAGTAGCCTTCTTTCTGCTTTTACTTCCTTCTATATGGCTTAGCGCTGAAGCATAAGCACTGGGCTGCTAACCAAAAGGCCGGTGGTTCAAACCCACCTAGCTGCTCCTCAGAAATCCTACGTAAGGGTCACTAGGAGTCAAAACTGACTTGATAACACTTAAGAACATATCCAACTAACAAAGCCAATCACGTCTGTATTCTCTCAGCAATACTTCTGTTCATCAACCTCTATCTTTGTGTCATGTCCACCTGCAGATGCTGTTGCAAAATCATACCTTTGGGGTCTTTTAACTGCATGCTTCCTTGACTATTACCATTGGCCCCTTGGTACCACTACTGATTCACTAGAGGAAAACCCAACTAGATTCTCAATGATATCTGACCATCTCTATTTTGCACACCCACACCCTCCAACATACTCATTCCACAGTTACTTCAGCACAACTTCAGTTCTCCTTCCCTCTCGCTCCTCAGAGAATACAGGGGACATCTCCAGCAGTACACTGCAACTCTGCGCCTATCCAAAGCCATTCTAGCCTTCTTCCTTCCAGTTACTACAGAAGGTGGCTCATCTCCTGACAAAGGCAGATTGCTCCCCACTGTGCTCTGTCCCTCCCAAACTCCACAGGAATCATATTTCACCAATCATTCCTTGGGTAAATTATATTACTATTTATGCAACATAACCAAGGAACCAACTTGAAGGCACTTAAAAACAAGTCTCTTTCATGCTAAAAATAGTTTTTCTCTCAGTCTCAAATGCTATTCTTATCAAGGAACATGAGCTCCCCACATTTTCACTGTATTCCATGCATTCACCCACTAATCTGGTTCCTTTTGCTCTATGAAATGGTTCTCACCAAAGCCAACAGTAATCTCATTCCACTGCATTTAAGGGCACTTTTCAATATTTCCACACTTTCCTTCTCTTTGGTAGCTGACACTGAAGGTTCGGACTCTTCTCATGGTTTCACAATCCCTTTGTCTTCAACATCTTTTGGTCACAGTTTCAGTTTTGGTGTAGCTTCCCCTTCCTTTGTGCATCCTGTATGTTTGATAGTGTTCTTGAGGGTGAAGCCTGGTCATTTCATCCACTTCATGGATTCAGGGCCTTTGCACATGCCCATCACATTTAGACCTGCCTCTCTAGTCTAACTCTTTCTCTAGCACACCAGGTTTCTTAGGCACACACTACCAAACAGAAACCACAACTTGGTTATCCTAAACACCTCTCAAATTCAGTAAGTCCTAAACTGAGGGCAATGCCTTCTGTATAGACAGCTTTTTCTCCTGCATTTGCATCCCCTCAGCAACTCAAGTTAGGTGCCTCGAGACCTTCTCCCACACAAGACAATCACTCTCCCTCAGTCACTTCACTTTTTCTCTGTCTCTATATGGCCACCATCACATGCACTGGTCTACAAAGTCAGTTTGAACCGCAAGGTCAGTGGTTCAAGCTCACCAGGTGCTCCTCAGAAACCCTATACAGGAGCGTTATGGGTCGGAATCAACTTGGTGACACTTGACAACAACAACAAACCTTTCAAATAGATAAACAGAGAAGCTTGCTCATCTTTGGCCACTTCTACGATCCGATGCTCTTTAGAAATCATTCCCAGGGTATCCCTGCACCAAGATGTCGAGCCATTTAGAAGAAGCTGAAGTTGGACTTTCAATCTACTCACGAAACCAGTGGCCCTGGTTCATTTTTGAGTCTTCCATGTGATTCTCAATGCCCTATTTTACTCTCTAGTTCCCAATTTACACCTGGTAGCGTAATGGTTATGAATTGGGCTGCTAATCTTGACATCAGCAGTTCGAAACTACCAGAGGTTACCCGGGAGAAAGATGAGGCCTTCTGCTCCCGTAAAGAATTACAGCCTCAGAAACCCTATACAGGGTCACTATGGGTCGGAATCGACTTGACAGCACTTAACAACAAACAACAACAACCTCTCCTCCAGGGAGTTTCCCTTGTCCCACAAGTTTGGGTCAGATGCCTGCCCATGTGGTTCTCCTTTAGTACTTTCTAAGGGTGTGGCATCATTAGTTTCCTACTTGTATATATTTTAACACAGCAGCATTCTCAATACCTAATAATGTGCTTGGCATTGAAAAGAGAAAACTCAAATTTCAGATTTGTAATTATTGAATAGTTCTTCTGTTACTGTTGTTGGTAAGTGTCATTGAGTCGGACCCAGCTAACAGTGACCATGTATAAGGTTTCCAAGAAGCAGCTAGTGGGTTTGAACCACTGATCTTGTGGTTAGCAGTCCAGTGCATACCATATAGAGCCATACCAGGACTCCACGGTTTATGCAAACTTTACATTTGGATTATTCTTTTACTTTCCATCCTCAGTTTACTGGTATTGACAGTGAACACCATTTAGTTCACATTTATATATGGATATACTGCTGAAAACTGCTGAAAAATCAATGTCTTCTTTTTTGAGATTTTTAGCCATCTTTGTGATTATCACAAGATTTAAGAATAGTGCACTCAAAATAAATTTCCTCCCTCCTCTCTTTTTGTGTGACTAGCAGCAAGGAATATCTGTTGCTCCTCCTTCTGGGACAAGCACCTGGGATTTCTTCTATGAGGCCCTGTGCCTTGCTCTTGGACAATGGTCCGGATGGCCTCTCCTTGTGTAGTCACAGCCAATAAGGTGAAGGGGGATAGTGGCTGGTGCCTTCTGGTAAAAAAAAAACACACTTGCTTCCAACCCAGGAAGACATGGTGTGGAGGAAGTATGAATCCTCCATAGTGAGAAAGTCACGATCCTAGGCCCAAGGTAGGCACCACCATATGGAAGGCAGAGGTCAGGAGCAGTCTTGGTAATGGTATCTGCACTGTGCCTAAGCCAGTCCTCTAAACACTTTGAGTGATCTGATCAATGTCCTTTCTTCACCAGAGTGGCTCTGGGTGGGCTTTCTGACTGATACACCTCCCATCCCACAGAAAATTTCATCAGTTAGCTTTTAAACCCACAAAGCAGAAATATCACTTCTATTATGCTAACTTCTGTAATGGTGCAACAATATTGAGCCATTAAAATAGCAAACTCTCCCATGTATATAATTTAATGCATTGAAATACGCAATTTTAAGAAATGTGTACTTATACCAAGAAAGGGTTTTACTACAAATGATAGATTTCTACAAATAGAACACTTTTTAAATGAGATTAAAATCTGATATCAGATTTATTTTCCTTTTAAATAAGAGATCATAACAATTTTGAAATGAATGATAGTATATTATCAACTTTAGAAGTCTTTTACAAAACTTTAAGGGATCAATTATTTCTTCAAGTTTACTTATGAAGAGAAAAGTTTGTAAAGTTCAGATTTTAAAGACATACTAAGTTAAGAAACCGAAAATTCAATAACATACAAAACCCAAGGCACTGCCATCAAGTCATTTCTGACTCAAAGCAACCCTAAAGGGCAAAGCAAAATTCCCCAAGGCTGCAATCTTTATAGAAGTAGATTGCCACATAGTACCATGCACAGCGACTGCTGGGTTCAAATGCTGACCTTTAGGTTAGTCCTTAAGCACTCAACCCCTGCACCACCAGACCTCCTTAATGATGACAGAGAGGAACCTGAACATGAGTACCTACCTGTTTTCTTGCACTTTCTACCATCTTCATTTTCATGGAAAATTTACAGCTCTTAATCAGAGAATAAATGTCTTCTTCCTGCCCTGGCATGTCCACCGTGTCACCAGAATCTCCATCTCCATCAACTTTCATGCTATCATCGTCTGCGAGTAGAGTAAGCTTCTCCTCTATTTTGCTGAGAAAGAAACAACTACACAAAACAAAGGAGAATTAATCAACACCACAGAATCCTGAAAGGAAGTTTTGACATGAAGGGCATTCAGACAGAAATCATAGAGCTACAATTTTTGGTTCATCTTCAACCTATAAATGTACACTCTCTAGTGGACAAGATTTAATCTCTAGTGGACAAGATTTAATATCCAGTGGACAAGATTTAATATCCAATTTAATAAAACAAGTAGATTTCAATAGACTTTTCCAGATCTCCCATTGCCTTCATCATCACAAAATAAAGCATTTAAAACACAATTTTGTCTCTTAAAAAGATTCATTAATATATTCTGTGCTATGTCCAAAGTCATTTTTCTCTTTATATGGCCAATCTAAGGTGTTACTCCTTCCCAAAGGTACAAAATGCAAAAAAGGAAACTGACTATAAGTACTAAGTTTTATATAATAAAGGTTGGTATTTCTTGTTTAAGTGCTATTGAATCAATTCTGACTCATAGTGACCCTGAATCGTGTTTCCAAGGAGCATCTAAGTTAAGAACCACCAACCTTGTGCCGATCCTACAGCAACATTATTGTTGTTGTTAAGTGCCGTCGAGTCGGTTCTGACCCATAGCGACCCTGTATAGGGTTTCCAAGCAAGTGACTGGTGAGCTTGAACCGCTGACCTTGCAGTTCAAATGGCTCTGCAGTCTGGCACATTAACTAACCCACAGCACCATAGCCCCATACCAGGACTTAAATTCTATTATTTGTACCATATTTACATACATGGCTCTGTTCCACTGATTTAATTTTCATTAAGATCAGTAACACTGACAAAGAACCTTAACACAATATCTTCACTCCTGATCAACAATCAATCAAGTAACTGCACACAAAGGGTCTAGTTTCTAATTTTCCAAGCAATGTTATGCCTAGATAAATCCCTATGCCCCACAGCTTTATTCTTTTTTTGGATACTCCAAAGATAAAAGACCCTCTAGCAATCTGTCTGGTGTGGCACTGCAGGATCAGCACTAGACTGCAAACCACAAGGTCAGCAATTCATACCCACCGCCTGCTCTTCAGAAACCCTATACAAGGTTGCTATGAGTAGACCTAACTCCACGGCACTTAACAACAACAAGCAATCTGTCTATTTCTGTTCTCACAACCCACAACTCAAAGCTCTTTACCATTCGCCACCTAAAAGCTGTTAATATCTTTTGAGCTTTTACTGCTTCTATAATGAAATAAAGTTAGAAATCAATAACAAAAGGATAACTAAAAAAATCCAGCTATCTGGAAATTTAACAGCACAGTTCTAAATACTTAATGGACCAAAAAAGAAATCACATGATAATTAGAAAATATTTTTAACTGAATGATAGCAAAAATACAACATGTACAAATTTGTGGAATGCAGAAAATAATAATACTGGAAAAAATATAAAATCAATGACCAAAGCTTCTATCTTAAAGAACTAGAAAAACAAAAAAAACACAGAAAAGTAAATCTAAAGTACTTAGAAGGAAGTAAGTATAGGAAAGATCAGATTCAATGAAATAGGAAGGAAACAGACAATAAGGAATATTAACAAAGTCAAAAGACAGTCCTTATAGGAGATCAACAAAACTGGCTACCCTCTACTTAAACTGATAAAGACAAAAAAAAGAACATAAATCACCAATATCAGAAATAAAACAACAAACAAGGATGTCCTTTATCATCACTCCTATTCAATGCTGTACTGAAAGTCATAGCCAGAGCTATAAGGCAAGAACGGGAAATTAAATGTGTCCAGATTGACAAAGAAGAGGTAAGACTCCATTCGCAGATAATATGATCCTATACACAGAAAGCCCTAGTCTCAGCAAGAAAATTATTGAAACTCATTGAATGAATCAGCAAAGTGGCAGGGTACAAGAACAGCACATAAAATCAGTCAGATTCCTTTACTGATTTATTTACAATAGTATCCCTTACAATAGTCACCACGCAAAAGAAAAAATCTAGGAATACTCAGGAATAAATTTAACCAATAAACCAAAGACCTACAAAAACAACTTTAAAACACTACTACAAGAAACCAAAAGAGACCTACATCAATAGAAGAATATAAACATGCTCATAATTAGGAATACTTAACATTGTGAGAATGTGAATACTACCCAAAGCAATCTACAGATACAATGGAATATCAATTCAGATTCCAACACCATTCTTTAAAGATATGGAAAAACTAATTAACTGCTTTATATACAAAAGAAAGAAACTCCAGATAAAGCATTACTAAAGAGAACAAAGCAGGAGGCCACTCCTTTCCTGATCTCAAAATCTATTACACAACAACAGTAGTTAAAACAGACTGGTACTGGTACAACAAAAGACACATCGATCAATGAAACAGAATTGAAAACTCAGTAGTATACCCACTCACCCACAGCCAGCTAATCTTTGTCAAAGGGTCAAACACATTAAATGAGGGTAAGGTAATTTAACAAATGGTGCTGGTAAAATTGGATTTTCATTTGTAGAAAAATAGAACAAATCCCGTATCTCACAACATATACAAAAACAAACTTAACATGGATCAAAGACCTAAATGTAGACATATAAAGTTCATCAGTGAAAAACAGGCAAAATTAGGGTCTCTGATACATAGCATAAATACAACTATCAAAACTGAAAACACTAAACAGTAAAAGACAAACTAGATGACTGGGATCTCCAAAAAATTAGATACCTATGTGCATCAAAAAGTTTTACCAAAGAGCAAAAAGAAAACTCACAGACTGAGAAAAAATGTTTGGCAATGAAGTATCAGACAAGGGACTAAACTCTTACATTTATAGACTACTTCAACACCTCACCAAGAAAAACACATACAATCCAATTCAAAAATGGGAGAGGACAAGAACAGACATTTCACTAAAGAAGACATTCAATCAGCCAACAAACATATGATGAAATGCCAATAATTATTAGCAGTTAGAGTGATGCAAATCTCAAAGACAAGGAGATAATAACTCACCCCAGCATTAAGAGTAAAGTTCAAAAATACAGAAAACAGCAAATGCTGCCAAGGATATAGAGACTGGAACTTTAATATACTGCTGTGGGACTGTAAAATGATGCAACCAGAGTGGAAAGTGGTACAGTGCTTCCTCAAAAAGTTGGAAATAGAAATACTGTATGACCTCGCAATCCTTCTACTTGCTATATATCCTAGAGAAATAAGAGCAGCAATATGAATAGATTCATGCACACCCATGTTCATTGCCATTCTATTCACAAGAGCAAGAAGATAGAATCAACTGAAATGCCCATCAATAGAAGAATGAATAAACAAACTTTGGTACACACACACAATGGAATACTATGGAACAATTAAGAGTAACAATGAATCTGCTTAACACCTCATAACATGGATGAACAGAAAGGACTTTATACTGAGTGAAAATAGTCAATGACAAAAGGACAAATATTATATGAAACTACTAGCGTAGTGGTTACGAATTGGGCTGCCAACCACAAGGTCAGCACTTCGAAACTACCAGCTGTTCCGCGGGAGAAAGATGAGGCTTTCTGCTCCCATAAAGATTTACAGCCTCGGAAACCCTGGTCAGGGTAGTTATAAGTCGGAACCGACTCCATGGCACATAACAACAACAACAACTATTATATAAAGTCAAGAAAAGGTTGTCACACTAAAAGAAACATTCTTTGATTGTTACTAGGTATGGGAGGGAAGGTGAGTAATTCACTGGCTAGAGTAGACACATTAACCTGGGTGATGAGGAAGGCAACATACAAGAGAGGTTGGCAGAAGAAAGTTGAAGACAGGGGAAGACACAGGAGAAGTATAAGAACTAAAAGGCACAAAGAAAATATTGTTATATATACAATTGTCATATACACAATCCTGCAATAACAGTAATCTATGGGTAGATACAGCACAGACTGAACAGGTGTGGGAGGGAAAGTGGGAGTATACCCACAAATACATAAAGATGAAACAAAATATTTGTACATGGGTATTTTGTAGCAAACATAATCATAAATATGGTGGAACATACAGAGCAAAATTATGAAAACTTCTTAGACATCACCAAACACCTTGAAGGAATGAGTTGCTGGCTTTAGAGACTTAAGGCCATAGTCTCAGGGGACATCATGGACAACGGGCATAACATAAAGATGATGTTCTACATTCTACTTGGTGAACAGCAACTGGGATCTTAAAAGCCCATGAGTGGTCATTAATGTGCAACTATTGATGTGCAGAGGGAAGAAGAGTGATGACAACCGAAGACACTTGGAATCAATTAGCCCAATGGACTAATGGACCATGTGAACAGTGATCTCCATGACCATGAGACTAGAAGAACTAGATGATTAGATGATACCCAGCCACCACTACCCACTGTTCCGAAGGGATCACATTAGAAGGTCCTGGATAGAATGGGAGAAAATGTAAAACAAAACTCAAAATCATAAAAATGACAAGGCTTACTGATTAGACAGAATGGTGGAATCCTGAGACTGGCCACTGGTCACTTGAGTTCAGTCAAGTACTAGATAGATAGGTATATAAGAGGGGCAACAATACTATGGTGAGGTATGTTGTTGTTGTTATGTGCCGTGGAGTCGGTTCCAACTATAGCAACCCTGTACAGGGTTTCTGCAGCTGTAAATCTTTATGGGAGCAGAAAGCCTCATCTTTCTCCCATGGAACAGCTGGTAGTTTCTAACTGCTGACCCTGAGGTTTGCAGCCCAATTCGTAACCACTATGCTACGAGAGCACACATCACAAACTGTTCAACCATTCAAGATCAAAAGGGCAGCATTTGCTCAAGGACAAAATTTGGGAAGGTTGGGAAAGAAAGGGGAATGGAAACAAGAAACACAGGGAGGAAGTGGGATACATGTTACTCTGAGGGGACTGCAATCATCGAGATGAAACAACGTGTATGATTTGTTGAATGCAAAACTGATGTAAAATTTTTAATTAAAAAAAAAAACAAACATCTTGGGCCGAATGGAGGATTCTTCCTTATACTAAGAAACCAACTGATAAATGTAGAGCAATAGGTGGAGCTGCACAATCATCATTTGTAACCATCATAGTCAATCAAGATGGATGCATGTCAAGAGTCAGCTTGACTTATATTTAGGGTCCTTAGTGGACACTAATTTTAGAGGGGTAAATCCTATGAGAAGCAGGACACGTGCATGTCTTAAAACATCTCCCATATTGGTTATTTAGCTACAAAGGAAAAAATAGTACTCTGCTCCTTTAAAAAATCACATATATTAGATCAATTAGGTCAATAATTACTTTTTTAAAAGATGAGAATGTAAGGGGTCAGGAAAAGCAGATTAATGAAAAAGGAACAACCAGAATGGAAGAACATGTCTTAAAATAAAAAGTAAAATGAGTGTAGCCATAAAGGAAGTACAATGGAAGGAACACTACACCTGGGTAGAGAGCCCTTGAGTCCTACTTACTATGTATATTTGCACAGACATTAATTAACAACCTCTCTGATTCTAATGCCTCTTATCTGTCCTACCATTGCCCAAGCTTGTAACAGGATGACATTAAGATGAGAATAAGAAAATTATCTCAGACAAGGTTACAGTGATAAACATTTTTTTAAATGGAGTTGGGAAGCAGGAGACAGAGTATCCACAATCCAAATTTTAATAATAGAATAATAAAGACCAGTCACCAGTATTTTCTTTGCTATCATTTCACTACCTAAAATTCAGTCCTGAGTGAGATGCAGATGTGATGCTGCTTCAGTTGCTCCCTCGACTTCTCTTGCTCCCACAAAGATGTATCCAAAGTGAGTGATAGGCAGAAGTCCTGCAAGATGCTACCGGGAGCCAGGGGCACACAGTGCTGTGGTCCTTATGACAGGGTAATTTAAAGGTGACACTGACAATGAGAGAGACTCTACACTACACTCAAACCTCACATTTTTTCTGAACTGTGGTCTAGGGGAACAATCATTCTGACAATTTCAGAAAAGAGCCCATATTCAACTCAACAAAGCTGATCTTACCGATTTGTAATGACATCATCCCAGATGCTCAATGGGTCCATTTTAGCATCAGGGTATCTGTTTGTCCAGGTTTTCAGAAGTCTCTTAAGAGGAACTTGGGATGATAAGTTACCTAAAAATAATTTTAAATGACTGTATTCACTGCTCAATGAACAGACCAACAAAATCATCAGTAAACAAAAACTTAAAATTATTCTTAAACAAAAAACTACCCCCAAAAAACAAATTTACATTTTCTCCACAAAAGGAACAAAAGTTACTCTGCTAAGTCTATTAAAGGATGTAAACATGGGAAACTAAGCATGTGTCATTCATTTACTACACTGATGAACTTAAAGTCAGAAGACCTGGACTCAAAATTTGGATCCTTCATTTAGTAGCTTAGGCCAATCATGTAATCACACTACACCTCTATCATATGAGGATTACAAAATCTACAAAAAAACTAATAGAGAAAAAGATTAACATAGCTCTTGGAAAATGAATTATATCTCATTAGAGATATACACTTGCAAAATATTTCTCCAAGTTTAAAACAGTACAATTATGTATATAAAGATGATTATATTTAATCATTTAGGACAAAAAGAAAAAATTCATATTTACAAGTAAGAAATTTTACCTTTACAAAAACTTACTCTTTCCCTTAGTCTTAAATGGCTTTCCATAGACACCAGGATATAACCCACCCTCTCGACACAAAGACCTTGGGGTGTGAGCACTGACTCTGTCTGGAGCCTTATTGCCCCTCAAGCCCAGTGCACCTGCATCAGTTACAGAACGACAACACCCCAAGGGACACTCAGGAGCCAGTCTACAAACCCTACTCCTTCTCAGGGCTCAGCTCAGAACCCTCCTCAACTCAAGCCAGGTCAGCGTTCCTCCATGTATCACAAGGTGCCCCATGCACTCCTCCTCTCCCGAAGGAACCAGACTGTAAAAAAAACACCCGTCTGCTTATCTCTTATTTGGTTGTATCCCCAGCACCTACAGTAGTGTTTGTCCATTTAAAGCATTTATTTCAATGACCTCAAACATAAAATTCACTTAAAGAATGCCAGTTTCCAACCCATACATTCACTTTTACTGACAAAAAAATCAGAAGTACAAATTTACCTGGTTTGCTTACAAAGTTGATAAACTCCTGAATTTCTGTTAGAGCCTGTACAGACTGCAATTTGGTGAGTCTACTTTTATGCAAGAGGACATCAATACTAGAATAAGTCTATATGAAAAAAACAAACAGGCAAGCATATTTATCATTCAATTTACCACTGCAATTAAAAAAAAATGATTTATTGAGGTAAAATTCATATAATATAAAATTAATCATTTTAGATCAATCATTCAAAGTTAAAAGGGCAACATTTATCTAAGCACAAAGTTGAGTAGGAATAAGAAGGTGAAGACAATGTAAATAGGAAGCACAGGGAGGGCACGGGATAACTGCTCTTGTATAGACAGGATTGTAATCACTGAATTGAAACAAGGTGTATGACTTGAATGTAAAACTGATGATCTTGTCTGTAAACCTTCACTCAATTCACAATAAAAAAAAGGTTTCTTTTTAATTAGTCATTTTAAAGTGAACAGTTCAGTGGCCTTTGAAGCACATTCATAATGTTGTGTGCCCACCATCTCTATCGAGCGGTGGCAAAACATTTTTCTCATTAAAAAGTAAAATCCCTTACCTAATAAGCAGTTCCTCCCCATTCCTTATACTCCCAGCCTCTGGCAATCACCAATCTGCTTTCTGTCTCTATAGATCTGTTTTTGATTTTTCATATAAATAGAATCATACCTCTTCTATCTGGCTTCATACAATTAGCACAAAGTTCATCCAAATCATGTACCAGATCATTTCTCTTTAGGGATAAATAATATTCCATGGCACAGATATATAAGAATTTGTTTATTCATTCATCTGTTGATGGCCATTTAGGCTATTTCCTCCTTTGGTTATTGTAAATATTATAATAACGAGTACATGAACATGTGTGTACATGTACTTGTTTGAGTTCCTGTTTCAATTCTTTCAGGTATAGATCAAGAAGTAGAATTGCTGAGTCATTTAGTAATTCTAAGTTTAACTTTATGAAGAACCATCTAGCTATTTGCCACAGTAGAAATGCCATTTTATAATCCCACCTGCAATGCACAGAGTTCCAATTTCTTTATATCCTCGCCAATACCAATTTCTATTTTGATTGTTTGAATTCTAGTCATACTAGACTGTGAAGGTATACCTCCTCATTGTGATTCTCAGTTGATTTCTGAGTGACTAATGATGTTAAACATCTTTTTTGTGTGCTTTTTAGTCATTTGCATATACTGACTTTGGAGAAATGTCTACTTAAGTTCTTTGCCTGTTTTTTTTTTTAAGCTTTTATTGTGAATTGAGTGAAAGTTTACAGGGCAGCTCATCAGTTTTACATTCAGCAAATCATATACTTTTGTTTCATTACAATGATTATAATCTTCTCTCCATGTACCATCAGTTAACAGTATTTCTTTTTTTTTTTTTTTAACACTCAGGCGTATATAATTTACATCACCAAAAGGTACATTCTGCAAGTCTGCCTCCTGGCCACCAGCTCTCAGTCCCTCTCTTTCCATAAATTTAGAGCCCTCAGCTGCTCCCTCTTTCCATGTCCTCATCTCTGCCTCCATCTCTGGTGTCACTGCTGCTCTGAATAAAGTCTTGCATTCTGCTTGTGCTCATCTCCCTTGATGGTTCTAGGGTCCTCTCTTTCTGGGCTATAATATTAACTATTCGCCTGTTTTTGTTACAAAACTTCTACCTTTACAATTGTGATGGTCACAATTAGTCATGATAACAGTTACTCACTATTGAATCATAGAATCGTATCCCCATCTCTTTTTACCAGACCCATCTAGACAAGATGACAACTATTCAGTGGGGACTCTTTCTTTCCCCCCATACACTCTTAAACTAAACTCCCTCTTGAAACCTTGTAAGCCAGTCACGTCATGCCTTTATCGCCCCCTAATTTTAAGTAGCCAATGTCTAAGTTACCCATCCCTATCTACCCTGTATACAGAGGGGATACCATTGATACTTGATGTGAAGACTCCTTCCCTCTCTGTTGGTATTTTGAGCTACTACTTGTTT